TTTATTTATTATACCCAATAATCGATTATTTTCAATTACTTCCAAATCTTTTCTTAAATCAGCAAATTTTTGGTTTCATATGGAGCTTGACTGGAAATCAATTAATTGCATTTCTATGTCATGCAAGTTTAACCAATCAAAGAGTTTTAAATTTAATTTTTCAAACGGTATTTTATTGGGATATAAAATAAATTTTGAAGTTTCTTCAAATTGTCTAAACTGTGTAAATCTTGCAGAAAATTCCTGGATCAGGGATTGAATTATCGCTGAAAATTCTTTTGTTAGTTTCTCTTGGTTTGGTTTTTCATGACTCAATGTCAGAAAAAAATTTTTTGTATTCGAAAAATGTTTATATGAATTTGAAAGAATGTTGCGATTAAAAACTTGTAATTTGACTTCAAACGCTTTGATTAAGTCAAACATTACAATGATCGTTTTATTAACACCTTGTAGTTTGATATTTAACTCATTTAAGTGAGAACGTAAATCAGTAAAAAAAAAAAATAGTTTTGCAAGCCATTCTGCATCCATTAATTGACTGTATTGTTTAATAATAATCTCATTATTTAGAAATAATCTAATTTCCTCCAAACAATCTACAAATCTTTGCAAAACTTTTCCGTGGCTTAACCATCGTACATTATTGTACAAAAATAAGTTATTGTATGATGAGTTTACCTCGTTTAACAATTCCTGAAATTTTCTTTCATTTAGAGCCCATTATGATATAAAATTGACTACTTTTGTCACCAAACTCATAATATCATCCAAAATTTTCAAACCTGTCTTGGCACATAATGCTTACTAGTGAATAATGCAATGGAAACCGAGAATTGAATATCCAATATGTTTTGTAAATAAATTTATAAAACCATTTTCCTGTCCAATAATGCTGCAAGCACTGTCAGTTGTTACTGATACAATTTTGGAAGAACATATTTTTTTTTTGCCCAATGCATTTATAAGTGCATTACAAAATGTCTATTCTTTTTGTTGTTGTTGTTAATGTTGATAAACTTATTAATTCTTGTTTAATGTTATTTTGAACAAAATTACGTACAAAAATTGCTAAACGAGTTGAACTGTTATATCGGTAGACTCATCAAGGCAAATGGAAATGAAACTGCAAGATTTTATATCTCTGTTGTTGTTGAAAGCTTACCTTTTTTGCCATTCCCAAAATTCTCTCTTTTACCGTATTTCTAGCTAATGGTATATCTTTAATTCTTTGGATAATTTTTTCTTTATTTTCGAAATCTTTGAATAAGTATAGTGCACATTGCAACCAAGCCTTTTTTAAAAAGTCACCTTCATTAAAAGTTTTCCCATATTGAGCAATAGCTTTTGAAGCTTGCTAACTAGCAGCAGTAGTGTTTGATTGAGTTCCAATATATTTCATTAAAGATGTAGCTTGGGCATTTTTATTTTTGAAAACACCTGATATATACTCCTTTTGCTCTTCTTCACTTCGATTGAGAAGAGATTTGTGGTTGGTTTCATAATGTCGCTTTACTGATGATGATCTACAAACCATCTTTCCTGAACATAAAATTCAAATAGCTTTACTGTCCTTATTAATCATGCCATACCTATCGGTCCACCAAGTTTGAAATTCTCTGCTACCACCTGTATCTGATAATTTCGATTTTTTCATTGAACTAGCCATAATAAGAAATTCTAAAAAATAATTTAAAAACTTGTAAATTTAAAATATATGTATAAATGCAATAATTGCCTTAAAATAAAACCGTATTGTTTGTAAATAGTTATATTTAATGTGTCAATGATTAAAGTTTTAAAATGCTACATACAAACGCCTAAAATTACAAAGACTAACAGCTCATTGGCAATGGAGTGTTTTCATGACGGAGCAAATTAATGCGCATGACCACAGGACCGCATTGATCATACCACAAAATGATATTATATAATAGGTAGATAGCTATTCAGTACCATAAATTTAAATCATAAATTATTTTTAAAGTATGGATTGTTGAATTCTAATTCATAAAATAAAATTTTGTTATGATTAATAAAAAAATCATATTTTTTGTGCATGCCATCAAAATTTTCTTTGATGATGATGGGTTGATAAATTGGTTTAATCCATGCTCGAAATGTTAAAAATGTAACATGCTTAGGATCTGTAGAATTCTTTGGGATGATAATGGGTTGATAAATTGGTTTGCGATATATACCTGTCCAAATCTCCCCTTCTTTGCATGTGATCGATATATCTAGGAAGTTAACATTATTCTCGCTTTCTTGGTCCAAACCTAATGTCAACACATAAGGGTTATTGTTGACCGTGTTTATAAAATTCCATGCATTGTTATCATTTCTTCACAAGATGAAAATGCCATCAACATATCTGGAGTATACTATTATGTCGTTTCTAAAGATGGGTAAGATGTTGCTTTCGAGCTGACGTAATACTAATTCACATAGGAAATTTATATATTTCCATTCTACAATTCACATGTTTGACTCTTGTTAGGTTAGTAATTCCTTGTTTGTAATGGAAATTTCCAAACACTATGTAGATGGCATATATTATAACAATACTTACATCTGCTGTTTTATCTATATGCAGAACAACTTTGTATCCTAAATGTGTGAATGTTATATTCAGCATTTTTACATCTTTATCTGACCCATATCTTGTGTCTTCTTTTTCATTGAAATCGAAATTGTTTAAAATTAAACATGTTCCGTGTGGCGTAGTTCGCATCTTATAACACTGTAAAATTTTAAAATAAGTTCAATTATATGTCATACATAGAATACTAGCTGTTACCTGCGAATTCGTCTGCGGAGGTTTTGCAAGCAAACCCCATTTACATTCAGTATTTCAATAAACATAGTAATTGTTATATAACATCTACCACTGAAGAGAATTGCCGAGAATCAAATGAACTATTTTCAATCTGATCAATTTTCTGGAACGTTTACAATCGTTCTATAATCGAACCAATATGCAATAACAAATTCGAATTTAAAACGGTTCAAACATTTTTAAAATCGAAATAGATAAAAATATTTATAACAATGTCTGAAATGTTATNCAAACACTATGTAGATGGCATATATTATAACAATACTTACATCTGCTGTTTTATCTATATGCAGAACAACTTTATATCCTAACTGTGTGAATGTTATATTCAGCATTTTTACATCTTTATCTGACCCATATCTTGTGTCTTCTTTGTCATTGAAATTGAAATTGTTTAAAATTAAACATGTTCCATGTGGCATTTAAAATTAAACATGTTCCATGAGGTTTAAGTTGCATATTATAACACTGTAAAATTTTAAAATAAGTTCAATTATATGCCATACATAGAATACTAGCTGTTACCTGCAAATTTGTTTGCGGAGGTTTTGCACGCAAACCCCATTTACATTCAATATTTCAATAACCGTAGTAATTGTTATATAACACCTACCACTGAAGAGAATCGCCGAGAATCAAATGAACTATTTTCAATTTGATCAATTTTCTGGAACGTTTACAATCGTTCTATAATCGAACCAATATGCAATAACAAATTTGAATTTAAAACGGTTCAAACATTTTTAAAATCGAAATAGATAAAAATATTTATAACAATGTCTGAAATGTTATCAATTTAATATACCTAAGTACTCAATAAAGACTAAACATAGTTGAAAACAAAAAATTGCATCTAAAATAGTACAGTAGAAGCCGGTTTTCCTGTTAAGCCTTAATCCACTCCCTCTCCCCCAGCAGGGGAATTTCGAAAAAACCCTTCTTAGTGTGCGTTTTCGTGACGTACACTAACTGTATACCAAATTTCACCTCTTTAGGTTAACTGGTTTGCTCTGAGCGATGATGAATCAGTGAGTCAGTCAGGAGAAGCTGTTCTGTGTGTGTAATCAAATTCTTCATATGTACCATGTATACTCGTGCAGTGGGTGTATGCTTTTTTAATCCATGCTCGAAAAGCCAAAAATTTAACATGCTTAGGCCCCTTGATGTGGGTTCCTGTCTGTGGTGAGGGGTTCTCCCAGAGATGGTTTAGTAACTCTTTAACATTCCTGGGATCTGAACGCCCATTTACGTGTTAGTCGTGTGTGGTGTCCCATATGCCAGAAAGGGGGATCCTGGTAGTTGCACTGCTTTGGCGCCAACTTTGGATAAACGGGAGGCTCAAATCAGGCAACGTTTGAGTCAATCGGCTGGTCGTTGAGTCATACTTAACCTTGGCGTGGAGTCAACTGATCAATGCAGATCGGGCAGACATGTCAGACAAGATGTGCTCTTCTTGACTTCATTGTGAGGGTATAGCTCCTGGGAAACCCTGGTGTGACGGTCTATGGGAGTCTCCCATGTGACGGCATCCCCTTGTTGGACCCCATGGTGGGTGGGGTCACTAGGAGCTGAAATATTATTATATAATAATGGATTCTAAAACTTTAAAAAATAAAGAAAAGCCAGAAAACACTGCCAGTCAGCCATCCTACTTAATAGTGTATGCTACTGGAGAAAAATCTTTGTGAAAATGCTCCCCTTCCTTGATTCAGAAGTTATTTGAATCAATGATCGGACACCTGAAAAAAACACAAAAATTGAGGTCAGGAGACCTACTTGTAGAAACTGCCTCACCTCAATTGTCGGCAAAACTTCTAGCTGCAAAGAAATTGGAAGACATTGAAGTCACAGTCACACCACATGGAAGTTTGAACTCATCACGTGGTGTGATATCTGAGTTTGATCTGATGTCTGAAGATGAATCAGCTATTCAGATGAACCTATCAGACCAAGGTGTCACTGCTGTTCGACCTATCTCCATTCGTCAGGATAGCAAGTTAATACCAACCAAACATTTAATTCTCACCTTTAACAAGCCGACATTGCCATCTTTTATTACAGCAGGTTATATGCGCTGCCCTGTCCGTCCGTACGTTCCAAATCTGCTGCGTTGTTTCAAATGCCAGCAGTTTGGACATTCACAGACATCCTGCCGTGGCAAGAGTGTATGTGCACAGTGTGGGACTGAAGGTCACGAGAGTACTGAGTGTACCAGTACCCCATGCTGTGTTAACTGCAAAGATGCCCATCCTTACTCTTGAAAATGCCCTGCATGGCAAAGAGAAAAAGAGTTAAAACGGGTAAAAACAGTCAATAACATACCCTACCCAGAGGCCCGTTGTGTGGTCACTTCAACTGCACCTTTGAGACAGAAAACATTTGCTGCTGTTTTGAAATCCACAAAGACATGTGGGGTTCAAACAGATATTTCTGTCTTTCTAAGTGAATCTCTTACTTGCCATGCAAAATGTTTAATTCTCCCATCTATCCAAACATCAGAAAAGGAGACATAGAAGGTCAAAACACCCCTACCAAAAACAAGGGTAACAGCAAGAAATGTGGTTTCAAAAAAGGTGAATAAAAACTCACTTAACAAGGAAAAGGTTAAAGCAGCTATCTCCAGATCAACTAAAAAATCGGAGACTCAGTCTATGAGTGAGTTCTCTGACTTTTCGGATGAAGAAAATAATATGGTGGTTACACAACCAACGTCACCTTCAAAAGAAAAACCTTCCGTGAAATTAAAGAGGGATACCTTCACAAAGAATGCTGCCTCAAACACACAATGGATTATAAAATAATCCAATGGAACTGTCGTGGTTTCTGCAACAACTTCTCTGACATTAAACACTTGACATTATCTACCCAATCTCTCTGTGTTGGCACTCCAGGAAACCCACCTAAAACCTGGAGAAAGGATCTTTCTAAAAGGATTTGATTTCTACCACAAGGATGATGATAGCCACAATCGTGCCAGTGGCGGTGTGGCTATTCTGGTTTCAAATTGCATTCCATCCTTACCGGTACAAATAACCACTGCTTTGCAAACTGTGGCAGTCAGAATTTTGATTGGAGTAACTGTCACAGTTTGTTCTATATACTTGCCACCAGATGTCAAAGTCAACGAAGATGAATTGGATGCTTTGGTTGAACAGTTGCCTACTCCGTTTATTTTACTAGGTGATTTCAATGGCCATAATCCTATGTGGGGCAGTTCCGACATTAATTGTCAAGGCAGGACCATCGAAACATTTATAGGCAACCAGCAACTGTATTTATTTAATACTGGAGAAGTAACATACTTCCATGGCCCAACAAGAACATTCACTGCCATTGATCTATCACTAGCAATTTTGAACCTATTTTAGGTGTTTACATGGGAGGTTGGATTTAATCCACTCTCCAGTGCCACTTCCCAATATTTCTAAAACATCGAGGCAGAGATAGTTGTGAAACAGCTTGTCCACCACGCTGGAAATTGAAAACAGCCGATTGGCCTGTTTTTTCTATATGGCCAACATCACAGAGGGTATGGTGAATATTGCAGATATCAATGATGCAGTTGAAGTTGTCACTACCAGTATTATTCAGGCAGCTGAAAAAACAATGGGGAAGACTTTAACTAGATATCCAAAACATCCTAAACCATGGTGGAACCAGAAATGTGAGGCAGCATTTAAAGTCCAAAAGAAAGCATGGGGTATTTTCAGATAATACCCCACTGCGAGAAATTTGGTTGCTTTTCAAAAAGCAAAGGCAAAGCCAAAGGGATTCTTGGAGGAAGTATGTCTCTAGCATAACATCCTGCACTAGGTCAAAAGCAGTCTGGGATAAAATCCATAAAATTAATGGAATATATGCTTTTCACTCTCTGTCCATGCTAGAAAATAATGGCACAATAATCAGCGACATATCGGATATTGCTGATACGTTGGGTGAAACATTTTCTACTTCATCCAGCAATATTATGTATTCAAGGAATTTTCAGTTTTATAAAGCCCAAAGAGAAAAACAGTGTTTAAACTTTTATTCCTCATCTAATGAGGAATATAATGTGCCATACACTAGAATTGAATTACATACAGTGATCTCTCGCTCAGGGAATAGTGCTGTAGGCCCGGATAAAATCCACTACAGCATGATTAAATATCTTTCAAACAATTCCCTTTCTAATCTCCTGCATCTGTTCAACAGAATATGGACAGAACTTACTTTTCCTGACTCTTGGAGGTTATCTATCATTATTTCCATTCCCAAACCAGGTAAAGACCACAAGAATCCCTCTAATTACAGACCAATCTCTCTGACAAGTTGCCTGTGTAAACTCTTTGAGAGGATGGTAAATAGACACCTGATGTTTCTCCTAGAGGAAAAGAACTACTATTTACCACAACAGAGTGAATTTCGTAGAAGTACCACAGACAATTTAGTAAAACTTGAAACATCTATACGTGAAGCGTTTGTTCGACGACAGCACTTAGTATCTGTATTCTTTGATATAGAAAAGGCCTACGATCACTGCTGGTGATATAGAATACCTCGTGATCTACACCAATTCGGATTGCAGGGTAATTTGTCAATTTTTATAAAAAACTTTTTACAGAATCGAAGATTCCAAGTCAGGATGGGAAACACTTTATCTAGGCTTTTCACACAAGAAGGTGTTTCTCAAGGTTCTATTTTGAGTGTGACTCTGTTCCTAATTAAAATTAACAGCATAGCTAACCGTCTCCCTCCCAGTGTGAAACACTCTTTGTATGTGGATGACTTTCAGATCTCCTGTCAGTCTAGTAATATGAGTTTCATTGTGAGACAAGTTCAAACCTCCCTAAATCACATATATGATTGGTTCAAGACCAATGGGTTTACGTTTAATGCAGCGAAGACATCGTGCATCCACTTCTGCCGAAGGCGTGGTTTGCATTTGGATCCTGAAATTCACCTAAATGGCGATAAAATTCCAATGGTGAATGAGGCTAAGTTTTTGGGTGTTTATTTCGACCCAAAACTGACATTTTTGCCGCATTTACGCAACCTGAAGAGTAGATGTTTAAAATCTCTAAACCTATTAAAGGTACTATGCTGCTCATCCTGGGGAGCAGACAAAGTTTCTATGCTCAGGATTTATAGGGCCCTTGTCCGCTCTAAGCTGGACTACGGTTTCATTGTTTATGGCTCTGCGCAAGAATCTACTCATCAGATGCTGGATCCAATCCACCATCAAGCACTACGTTTGTTCACTGGTGCTTTTCGAACTTCTCCTGTACAAAGTTTGTATGTGGATGCTTATGAGCCTCCACTATCTCTCAGGAGAGAACAGTTGTCTCTATTTTACTATATAAAACAGAAATCTTACTCTAAACTTTAAGTTGATTGTACAGTATTAGATACTCAGCTGAAAAGGTTATTTGAAGCTCGCCCAAGCAGTGTCCCTTCATTCGCCATAAGAATGGAGCATGTGAGCAGCACGATTGACCTGAACACAGGCAACATTTCACAGCTAGAGGTCTGTAGTATATCTCCTTGGTCAACTCCTGTGATAAATGTTGACCTTAGCTTAAAGCAATTTCCAAAGGAATCCACCCCAGATTATGTCTACAGGCAGCACTTTGCAGAAATTCAACACCATGACAGGAATTTAATTCCTATTTATACAGATGGATCTAAATCTGATGATTACATTGGCTCAGCCTTCGTCTGCCGGGATGAAATTGTGGCAGAACAAATTGCATTGAATTCTTCCATATTTTCTGCGGAGTTGCATGCTATATATTTAGCTTTAAAGTATATAAATAGGAAAGGTCATCGTAGCTGTGTTATATACACTGACTCAGTTAGTGCACTTCAGGCTTTGATCTCATGTGAACCTAGTTCTCACTCTATAGTGATTAAACTTTGTAAGCTCTTTTGCCATCGTACTGCGAGTAGTTTTTATGTAAAATTTTGTTGGGTCCCAGGCCATGTAGGTATAATAGGGAATGAAGAAGCTGACGCAGCTGCAAAGTCAGCTACGCCTTTACAACATACAATGCATATTGAAGGAGGCGATTTGAAGCTAGTAGTTAAAAAACGACTAGCAGAGAGATGGCAAAACGTGTGGAATGCACAAATCCACAATAAACTACATGAGATCAAGCCAAATATAGAAAATTGGACACGTAATAAACAGTATGACAGGAGATCTGAAGTAATTCTTACTCGTTTGAGAATTGGGCATACTCGGTTGACTCTCAATACCTTTTGAAGGGTGAAGACCAGCCAGTATGTGAGTATTGCAACTGCTTTCTAAGTGTAAAACGCATGCTTTGCAACTGCACAGCTTTTGATCAAAGTCATAGACAGCATTTCGGAAATGCAAGTTTGAGAGAGATTTTGGGCCAGAGGCCAAATCTTGACAAATTATTGAACTTTTTGAAAGTGAATAACATTTATAAACATATTTAATTATTTATCTAGGTAATGTTTATATATACCTTGTTGATTATTTATTTATTTATTCATTTATGTATATATCTTGTTATTATTTACATGTGTATTGTTATATATTGTTTTGTTATTGATTTTGTTATTTATTAGTTTATTTATTTATTTATATTAAACATCTTACATAATATATATATATATATATATTTATACCATTTGCCATGGCACAGCTTGGCCTGTATGGCCCTTGCGCCAATAAACTCTAACGAACGAACGAAGACCTCGTGCATCCACTTTTGCCGAAGATGTGGTTTGCACTTGGATTCTGAAATTTACTTAAACGGGGTTAAAATCCCAATGGTCAATGAGGCAATGTTCTTGGGAGTTTTATTTGATTCTAAACTGACGTTTTTACCACACTTGCGCAATTTGAAGAGTAGATGTCTAAAATCTCTGAACCTTTTAAAGGTACTGTGCTGCTCATCCTGGGGAGCAGACAAATGTTCCAGGCTCAGGATTTATAGGGCCCTTGTTTGCTCAAAGCTGGATTACGGATGCATTGTTAATGGCTCTGCGCGAGAATCTACTCTTCGGATGCTGGATTGAATCCACCATCAAGCTTTGCGTTTGTGCACTGGTGCTTTATGAACTTCCCCTGTTTAAAGTTTGTATGTGGATGAGCCTCCACTATCCCTCAGGAGAGAACAGTTGTCTCTGTTTTATTACATTAAACAGAAATTTATGAATAGACTTTCAGCTATTAGTTCAGATACTCAGCTGAAAAGATTATTTGCAGCTTGTACGAGTAGTGTCTCTACATTTGACATAAGTATGGAAAATGTAAGCAGCACGATTGACTTGGACACAACTAACATCTCTTAAGTTTAGGTTAATAGCATTTTACCTTGGTCAACCCCAGCAATAAATGTTGACTTAAATTTAAATCAGTTCCCGAAGGAAACCATGCCAGATTACATGTATAGACAGCACTTTGCAGATTACATGTATAGACAGCACTTTGCAGAAATTCAACACACTGACAGGAATTTAAGTTATATTTGCACTGATGGATCAAAATCGGAAGAATATGTTGGCTCAGCCTTCATCTGCCAAGATGAAATCATGGCAGAACAAATAGCATTGAATTCTTCCATATTTACTGCAGAGCTGCAGGCTATTTACTTGGCCTTAAAGTATGTAATCAGTAAAGGTCATTGTTGCTGTGTAGTTTACACTGACTCAGTGCACTTCAGGCTTTGATCTCATGTGAACCTATTTCTTATTCCATAGTAATTAAAATTCATAATCTGATTTGTTATCTTCTTACAAGGAATCTCTCTGTAAAATTTTGTTGGGTCCCAGGCTACGTAGGTATAAAAGGAAATGAAGAAGCTGACACAGCTGCAAAGGCAGCTAGTCCTTCACTGCATGCAATGCCTATCAAAGGAAGTGATTTGAAGCTAATAGTTAAAAATCGACTAGCAGAGAGATGGCAAATCGTGTGGAATGCACAAATCCACAATAAACTACATGAGATCAAACCAATGATAAAAAATTGGATACTGTAATAAACAGTATGATAAGATATCTGATGTCATTCTTACTTGTGTGAGATATGCAGAGGGCCACTGGGATGATTCCAAATGACCACTTACGCTGCAACAGGTTGGTAAACCCGATCTCTGATTGTCAGACGGCTAGGATTGCAAATTGAGTGGGGATGGCGTAGTAAAGTTGGCAGGTACAACGATAGATGACAGGTTAAACAAAATAACAAAACATTAATTTAATAGCTGAGCTAGGTTACATAAGGCGATAGGAATATATAGATTAAATGCAGTTAAATATAAGTTAACTATACAAAGGGCCGCTCTTAACAGCTGTAATGGCTATTCTGAGAGAGAGAGAGAGTTTAGAAAGTTCTAAAATACAAATACCTCTATGAGGATATGATTAATATGCATTCGTTGAATGGGCCATATGAATTGTAGTCGGCGCAGGAACTTTCAAAGTTGCTGTCTGTCATATGGCGATGTCCTTTCAGTTGCAATGTTTGGTGTATGGAGACAAAATGCACACATTTATAAGTATAACTTTCTTTGGTTGCCTGGAGCTTTTGGGAGCTCAAGCTTTTATATGTTCTTCGTGGGAAAGGAGTCTTGTGATCGACTTCTGTTGACACTAACGGTGGATTCCGATCAACTAAGTGTCAACTTAGTTGATCGGAATTATTAACAAATTATTAATTGTGAAAACATTCAGTGACCTCTGATATACTTCTCACCAAGAGTGTTTTTTTTTCATCAGAGTTATTTACAAAGATTTTTTCGACATCGTAAAAATCGTGGATCTCACACTTGTTTCAGAATTGGACATACTCGGTTGACTCATCAATATTTTTCGAAGGGTGAAGACCAGCCAGTATGTGATTATTGCAATTGCTTTCTAATTGTAAAACACATACTGTGCAATTGCTCTGCCTTCGAGACAAGGCATAGACAGCATTTTTGATATGCTTGTCTGACAGGGATTTTTGGCCATAGGCCATAATTTACTGGACTTTCTGAAAGTCACTAATATTTATAAACAAGTTTGATTTTTTATTTATTTACTTATTTATATATTTTTTTATATACCTTGTTGTTTTGTATAGTCATACTGTTATATATGCTTGTTATTGTTATTTGTTATTAATTTTTTAATATATGTATATATGGCCTTTTTGTAATTTTACCATTTGGCATGGCGCAGCATGGCCTGTATGGCTTTTGTGCCAAAAAACTTTAACAAACCTAACCTAACCTAAGAGAGCAATATCTGGAGAATATGCAGGGTGACTCAATACATTTCAGTTAAAGTCTAGAAGTTTTTGGCGCACGCTTAACAATATGTGTGGTCTTGCATTATCATGATGGAATACCACTCTCTAGATTTGCAAGTTTCGGACATTTTTGATGCACTGCAGCCTTTAGTTCATCCAGTTGGAGACAATATTTATTGGAATTAATTGTTTGGTTGTTGGGTAAAAGCTTGTAATAAAGAACCTCTTTCCAGTCCTACCAAACTGAAATTATTACTTTTCTGGGGTGCAAACCAGCTTTAGGTTGTGGCACTGGAGGATCACCTTGCTTACTTCAAGATCTCTTGCATTGAATATTGTTGTAAACAATCGTTTTTCATCACCTGTTATTAATCGCTTTAAAAAGGGATCATCATCATTGTGTTTTAAAAGTGAATCGCATACACAAACCTCAATAAGGTTTCATTCACTTAACTTATGGGGAACCCAAACATCATAATGGGAAGTGTATCCAAGGCTAGCCAAATGTCTGACAACAGATGTTTGGGATATTTTTAAGATGTCGGTTATCTCTCATGTTGTTTTATGCCGATTATTTTGAATTAAAGCCGTTATGGACTCATTTTCTATGGTTGAAGGTCGTCCTGACCGAGGTGCATCTTTGAGAGAAAAATCTCTTACTATGAATTTTTAAAACCATTTCTGGCATGTTCGATCAGTAACTGCATTTTCCACATGTACAGCACATACCTTTTTTTGAGCTTTTGTTGCATTTATTCTTTTTTGCAAATAATAGAGCATCAGATGTCAAAAATGCACCTTCTTATCTTCCATTTTAATGTTTTTTTTCCCTTTAAAGTTAAAAATTTTTAAAACTAGCTGTAATTAAACTTATGTAATAAATATGCAGATATTTATAATGTCAACCTAAACAAGTTAATACTTGATAAGCACAACAGAGGCACCACAGATGAATGATTATGTAAATACCCAAACAATTTTTTGGTTCAACCCAATATTAAGTCACCTTCTATCCTCTTGGGATCCACTACTAGATAAAACTTTTTTTAAATGATGTTTTGATATGTTTGTTACCTTTAGGTATCACTTATTAACGAATCACCATTTTTAAAATTTTTTTTATGTTTGGTGATTAAAAAAGGGTGTGTGTCCTATATGACATAATGATTCTCTAGCTGTACAAAATTCACACTCTGTATGTTTTGTAAAATTGGTTTATTTGATATCTTTTATTTACATGTGATATGCTATAAAGCCACAAGGCACAGATGAATTTTGCGTTCTGTACAGTGCACTCTAGCTCGTACACTTTTACATTCTTCCATTTGGCAGTGGTGATTTATTCCATCTGCAATTATTTCTGGCATATGTTTGGCTTCAGTTTTACATTGTATTTCACTGGGATGTGGAATTGGGGTATTTCTCTTTTTATTTTCTTTATCTTCATTATTTTCATTTTCTTCTTTTTTATTGCTTGTCCTTTTTGAATGCAATAGCCATTCTGATACTTTTTCTTTGAATCCCAAATATTGAAGAGTGTTTTTTTCTTTCTTTTTCATTGCTTTGCTGTCTCTTCTGTAAGCTATCCATCCAGCAGCACAAGCAAAATCAAAGAAGTGAAAAATCATTCTTACTGTCCATTTTTTAGTTTTAGACTTTTGGCGATAAATAGAAATGATTCTATCAAACAGATCTATGCCTCCCATATTTTCATTGTAGGATTGGACAATATAGGGCCTAATTACCATAATATACTTTTTTTCTTGTTTTGACCATCTTTTACACTCTCCTACAGGTTCCATTCCTTCAACAGATGAAGCAAGCGTCATTGGTCTGTTATCCATCCATTTCACAATTGATATTTGTCCATCACCTCTACCCCTCGATGTGGGTTTTTGTCCGTGGTGAGGGGACCTCCCAGAGATGGTTTAGAAACTCTTCTTTATCATCCCTGGGATCTGAACACCCACCCACGTGTTTGCCGTGCGTGGTGTCCCGTATGCCGGAAAGGGAGATCCTGGTAGTTGAGGGGCAACACATCGTCCCCAACACACTGCTTTGGCCCCTGCTTCGGATAAACGGGAGGCTCAAATCAGACTCCATTTGAGTCAATCGGCTGGTCGTTGAGTCATTATACACCTCGGCTTGGAGTCAACCGATCGATGCAGACCGGGCAGACATGTCAGACAAGATGTGCTCTTCTTGACTGCATTGTGAGGGTATAGCTCCTGGGAAACCCTGGTGTGACAGTCTATGGGAGTCTCCCATGTGACGGCATCCCCTTGTTGGGCCCCATGGTGGGTGGGGTCACTAGGAGCTGAACTTTTTTGAACAATATGGATTCTAAAAATCTAAAACTCCAACATAGTACAGAACAACAAATAACAAATGGCGGAAAACTTTTCAGCGAGCCTGCATACTTGATAATACATGCTACGGGAGATAAACCACTGTCCAAATGCTCTCCTTTTTTGATTCAAAAGCTATTTGAATCTACCATTGGGCACCTGAAAAAAATACAAAAGTTGAGGTCTGGGGATTTACTTATAGAGACAGCGTCACCTCAACAATCAGCAAGGCTTTTGGCAACAAAAAGTCTCGGAGAAATGGGAGTTCTGGTCACACCACACGGAAGTCTAAACTCCTCACGTGGTGTGATATCTGAGTCAGACTTGATGTCAGAAGACGAATCAGATCTATTGACGGGCCTTTCGGATCAAGGTGTCACTAATGTCCGACGCATCTCTATTCGTCGAGACGGAAGGGTGATACCTACTAAACACCTAATTCTGACATTTAACAAGCCGACATTGCCATCTGTAATTACAGCAGGATATCTGCGTTGCCCAGTTCGACCATACATTCCAAACCCGCTGCGCTGCTTTAAATGCCAGCGGTTTGGACATTCACAGGCATCTTGCCGTGGCAAGAATGTATGTGCACAGTGTGGGGATGAAGGTCACGAGAGTACCGAGTGTACCTGTACCCCATGCTGTGTTAACTGCAAAGATTCACATCCTTCCTACTCCCGAAAATGCCCTGCATGGCAGAGAGAGAAAGAGATTCAGCGCGTGAAAACAGTTAACAATCTACCTTACCCAGAGGCACGACGCATGGTAACTTTAAATGCACCAGTGAAACAGAAGACATTTGCTGCTGTTCTGAAATCCACAAAGACATGTGGAGTTCAGACAGACATTTCTGTTTCACCAAATGAATCTCTAACTCGCCACGAAAAATGTTTGCTTATACCATCTACACATACAGCAGAAAAGGAGAGCAAGAAGAACAAAACACCCCTACCTAAAACAGGGGTAATAACAAGAAACGTGGGTTCTAAGAAGGCTGCTAAGAACCCGCTCAACAAACAAAAATTAAAAGCAGCCATCTCCAAATCTAAGAGATCAGAGGCTCAGTCTATGAGTGAGTTCTCTGACTTCTCTGACGAGGAGACTAATAAGGAGGTGACACCACCAACTTCACCTCCAAAAGGCAAATCAGCCGTAAAACTAAAGAGGGATACCTTCACAAAGAATGCTGCCTCAAACACATAATGGATTATAAAATAATCCAATGGAACTGTCGTGGTTTCCGCAACAACTTCTCTGACATTAAACACTTGACATCATCTACCTCATCTCTCTGCGTGGCACTCCAGGAAACCCATCTGAAACCTGGAGAAAGAATTACTTTAAAAGGATTCAATCTCTACCGCAAGGATGATGATAGCCACAACCGTGCCAGTGGAGGTGTGGCTATTCTGGTTTCCAATCACTTCCCATCCTTGCTGGTACAAATAACAACTGATCTGCAAGCTGTGGCAGTCAGAATTTCTATTGGAGTAACTGTCACAGTTTGTTCTATATACTTGCCACCAGATGTCAGAGTCAATGAGAATGAACTGGATGCCTTGGTTGAACAGCTGCCAACACCATTCCTTTTACTTGGTGATTTTAATGGCCACAATCCTATGTGGGGCAGTCCCGACATCAATCGTCGAGGCAGAGCCATTGAGAGATTTATAGGTAATCATCAACTGTATCTATTTAATACTGGAGAAGTGACATACTTCCATGCCCCATCAAGAACGTTCACTGCCATTGATCTATCATTAGCAACTCCGAATCTGTTTTCAGCATTTACATGGGAGGTTGGATCTAATCCACTCTCTAGTGACCACTTCCCAATATTTCTAAAATATCGAGGCAGAGAAAGCTGTGAAACAGCCCGTCCACCACGCTGGAAACTGGAAACGGCAGATTGGCCTGCATTTTCCTCTTTGGCTAACATCACTGAGGAAATGGTCAATACTGCTGATATCAATGATGCAGTTGAAATTGTCACTTTGTGTATTATTCAGGCAGCTGAGAAAACAATGGGAAAGACATCAACAAGATACCCAAAGCATCCGAAACCATGGTGGAACCAGAATTGCGAGGCAGCATTTAAAGCACAAAAGAAAGCTTGGGGGATTTTCAGAAGGTACCCCACTGCTGAAAATTTGGTTGCTTTTAAAAAAGCAAAGGCAAATGCCAGAAGAATAAGAAGGCAAAGCCAAAGGGATTCTTGGAGGAAGTATGTTTCTAGCATAACATCTTCCACTAGCTCAAAAGCAGTCTGGGATAAAATCCATAAAATTAATGGGAAATATGCTTCTCACTCTCTGTCCATGCTGGAAAATAATGGCACAATAATCAGCGATATACAGGGTATTGCTGATACGTTGGGCGAAACATTTTCTACTTCATCCAGCAATATTATGTATTCAAGAAATTTTCAGGCTTATAAAGCCCAAAGTGAAAAACAATATTTAAACTTTCATTCCTCATATAATGAGGACTATAATGTGCCATTCACCAGCATAGAACTACATACAGCGATCTCTCGCTCGGGTAATAGTGCTGTAGGACCGGATAAAATTCACTACAGCATGATTAAAAATCTGTCAAACAATTCCCTTTGTAATCTTCTGTGTCTGTTTAACAGAATATGGACAGAACATACTTTTCCTGACTCTTGGAGGCTATCTATCGTTATTCCCATTCCCAAGCCTGGTAAAGACCACAAGAATCCCTCTAATTACAGACCAATCTCTTTGACAAGTTGTCTGTGTAAACTCTATGAGAGAATGGTAAACAGACGCCTGATGTTCCTCCTAGAGGAAAAGAACTATTTTTCACCACATCAGAGTGGATTCCGTAGGAACAGAAGTACCTCTGATAACTTAGTAAACCTTGAAACATCTATACGCGAAGCGTTTGTTAGACGACAGCACTTAGTGTCTGTATTTTTCGATATAGAGAAGGCCTATGATCGCTGTTGGCGATACGGGATACTCCGTGATCTGTACAAATTCGGATTGCGGGGCAATTTGCCAATTTTTATAAAAAACTTTTTACAGAATCGAAGATTCCATGTCAGGATGGGCAACACTTTATCTAGGCCTTTTACGCAAGAAGAAGGTGTTCCTCAAGGCTCTATTTTGAGTGTGACTCTGTTCCTAATTAAAATTAATAGCATCGCTAACTGTCTTCCCCCTAGTGTGAAACACTCTTTGTATGTGGATGACTTTCAGATCTCCTGCCAGTCTAGCAACATGAGCTTTATCGAGAGACAACTGCAAACCTCCCTAAATCGCATAGACAATTGGTCCAAGATTAATGGTTTTACTTTTAATACAGAGAAGACCTCGTGCATCCACTTTTGCCGAAGGCGTGGTTTGCACTTGGACCCTGAAATTCACCTAAATGGTGTTAAAATCCCAATGGTCAACGAGACAAAGTTCTTGGGAGTCATATTTGATTCCAAACTGACATTCTTACCACACTTACGCAATTTGAAGAGTAGATGTTTAAAATCTTTGAACCTTTTAAAGGTACTGTGCTGCTTATCCTGGGGAGCAGACAAAGTTTCTATGCTCAGGATTTACAGGGCTATTGTCCGCTCAAAGCTAGATTACGGATGCATTGTTTATGGCTCTGCGCGAGAATCTACTCTTCGGATGCTGGATCCAATCCACCATCAAGCATTACGTTTGTGCACTGGTGCATTTCGAACTTCTCCTGTCCAAAGTTTGTATGTGGATGCTTATGAGCCTCCACTATCTCTCAGGAGAGAACAGTTGTCTCTTTTCTATTATATAAAACAGAAATCGCATACTAAACCTTCAGTTGATTGTACAGTATCAGATACTCAGCTGAAAAGGTTATTTGAAGCTCGGAGAAGTAGTGTCCCCACATTCATCATAAGAATGGAGAATGTAAGCAGCACAATTGACCTTAACACATGCAACATCTCACAGGTTGAGGTTAATAGTATTCCACCTTGGTCAATTCCAGCGATAGATGTTGATTTAAGCTTAAAGCAGTTCCCCAAAGAAACCACGCCAGACTGCGTCTATAGACAGCACTTCGCACAAATTCAACATTGTGACAGGAATTTAATCCCTATTTATACAGATGGATCGAAGTCGGATAACTACGTTGGCCTAGCCTTTGTTTGCCAAAATGAAATTGTAGCAGAACAAATAGCACCGAATTCCTCCATCTTTTCTGCGGAGTTGCAGGCTATTTATTTAGCCCTAAAGTATATAAATAGGAAAGGTCATCGCTGCTGCATGATTTACACTGACTCAGTTAGTGCACTTCAGGCTCTGATTTCGTATGAACCTAGTTCACACTTTATAGTTACTAAAATTCGAAAACTAATTTTTCATCTGACTACGAGAAATTTTTTTGTAAACTTCTGTTGGGTCCCAGGCCACGTGGGTATAAGAGGTAATGAAGAAGCTGATACAGCTGCTAAGTCAGCAAGCCCTTCACAGCATACAATGCATATTGAAGGAGGTGATTTGAAGCTGGTCGTTAAAAAACGACTAGCAGAGAGATGGCAAAATATGTGGAACGCACAAATCCACAATAAACTACACGAGATCAAACCTTTGATAGAAAATTGGACACACAATAGGCAGTATGATAGGAGATCTGAGGTTGTCCTTACTCGTTTGAGAATTGGACACACACGACTGACTCATCAATACCTTTTGAAGGGAGATGACGAAGCAGTATGTCAGTACTGCAATTGTACCGTAAGTGTTAAACACATACTTTGCAATTGCATCGCTCTTGATCAATGTCGTAGACAGCATTTTGGAAATGCAAGTTTGAGTGAGATTTTGGGCCAGAGGCCAAA